TGCAGCCTCCAAAGGATGTTCTCTAACATTTCTCTGGGCTCAAGACTAGTTCTTGAGCTGAGACTAATCCTCACTGGAGCGATAGCCAAAACCACTGAGAACTTCCTCCATGTGCCTTCAACCTGCAGCATTTGCTATTGTTCAGAGTGCACAGAAAGCTGTGAGAGGGTGTAGGATACATCTATTTCCTCTTCTAAAATGAAGGGAAATGGCCTGAAGGGACTGAATTACTGAGCAACACACTTCGTTTCCTTCTTGCTTGATGTCTTGGTTCAGAGAGGGGTTTATTTAGTGCTTACTCCTTTGCCTTGTGGTTTAAAAACAGCAGTGGAAGAAAACCAAGAACGAATACTGTGCAAGGAGCAGCTGAGTGGATAACCCACAGATCAGCCAGATTATCGTGGGGTCATCCTGAGCCGTAGCTGGGATCCAAACGATTTAACCTGCCATGAATTGCTCGCATCAGAGAGCACTAGATGCAGCCTGTGTGCCGCTGACCAGATGTGTTTGCCATGGCGTTTGGTGGCACCTACCTGGAGCAGCGCATTGAGAAACCCTCCAGGGGCCTCACGCTGCCGTCAGCACTAGTAAGGCCACTCCGCAGGAGACAAGGACTGCTGCAGGGAGTGATGGACAGCAGTGAGTGGTTTGTGCTGCCTCACCTTGCTGTCCCCTAAGCACCCAGCACCTGGTGGCACCAACGCCCCTGTGCCTTGCTTGGTTAGGGGTGAAGACAGGGAAATGAGGTCCCCCTATTAGCGGCAGGGTTTCTAGACTGGTTTGCGAAGATGAATACTACAGGAAAACCTCTTGCTCTCAAACTCCTTCACCTGGCCTGTTTAGCAGGATAAAAAAGATGCAACAGTCATCACGCCACCTCATTTTTGGTTTTTGCTTCTATGTCCCCCTCCAAGAGAAGGAAGGAGAACCAGGTACGCCCATCTAGGCACTAGTGGGGTGCTCTGCTCATCTCTCAGGGCAGGCAGCAAAGTAAATACTCCAAGGGACAGCCTTAACTTTTCCAAACAATGCTTCCCAGGGAAGATCCAGGCACTGTCCATACATGTTTCGGCACGGGAAGCCTGCAGGTTCCTTTTCCTGATTGAAAACAGTTGCTCTGTGCTGTACATACTTGGGTACCAGTTTTTAAAAAGGACGGACCTTGTAGCAATGATTGCACCAACAAAATTTGGCATTCCCACTTTTATATTAAATTTTTTTTATTGAGATGATGTAATTACAGGCATTTTAAAAATTATTTGCAACTCACTGGCCCTGAGAATAGGCTTGTTTGTTTTTGTTTTGTTACATTCATTTGATTCAGTCCCTTAGCCCCACACCTTAAAAAAACAAAAAGCCATCATCAATAAAAACAGACTAGAATTTTATTTAAAAAAAAAAGACCTCGAACTGATGCATTCTGGATTTGCACACGGTTGCAGTCTGACAAAGAGATCTGGAGAATGCATGCGTGGAATCTGAAGGGGAGGGTGGCAGCAACTTAGTGTTCACAGAAAGGGCCCCAGTAGTGTTCTTTGGATGGAGAGGCAGTCAAAAGGTTTCAAACTTGCATCAAGAAAAATGTTCTGCTGTGGAACTGCAGCGTGTCCTACCTGACCGGCTTGTGGCTAGTTCAGACTTGTAGCAAGCTGATGGCATTGAAGGTCCCACTTAACTGCACAGTGTGAAGATCCTTTGTTGGGTGTTGAGGTTGGAAGGGACCTCTGGAGGTCATCTGGTCCAACCTCCCTGCTCAAGCAGGGCCACCTAGGGCCAGTTGCCCAGGACCATGTCCAGATGGCTTTTGCGGGTCTCCAAGGATAAGACTCTTTCTCCCTTTTCCCACTTGCTTTGGTGGCAAAGGCAGAAAGTTTGGCTGCTTTGCTGCTGGCAAATTCTACACCGGGAAATCAGAAATTGGGGAGGGGAGGCGGGTGTCAGGGTTGGTGGAAAGACAGTGGTGTGCTAGCCTAGACGGGCAGCCAAGCGTTCCTGTAGCTCAGTGCGTTAATGCTGTGTTTGCACTCCATGTATCTGCCGTTTGGATGTGAGGTAGATGGGAATCTGTCTACTACAGCTGCTCTAGCCTGGTTTTTTGGATTTGTTTTTTTTTTTTTCAGTCATAGCTGGTAAACTTGCTTCCAAGACCCCAAGAGCAGTTCAAATCCTGCAGCTCCCACAGCAGGTCCCAAGCCCCTGCAGTTCTGGCAGCTGCAGCGTCACCCGCGCCACTCTCTGCTGCACCACGCAGACCTGGCAGGAGGCGGGGGACAGCACCGGCCAGGAAGGGCCTCTGTGGGATCGGCCTGCTCCAAGTTCAAAGGCTATTTTCATTCCAACTAGCATCAGCCTTGAGAGAACTTCTTCTCTGTGGTTGTGGTGGAGAAGAAGTTGTCTTAAGATGTCCTTTACATGTGAACTGGAAGAATTTCCAACAGCCACCAAATATTTTTTTCCTTTTGACTTAGAATCTGCAGGTGAAAGTGATTGCATTTTTGGCAAAGGTGAACATTTCCTCTCCAAAATTTCCCCTAGAAAATTTCCCTATGGGACAACATGTGTGATTTCAGAATTCCTTGCTCCTTCCTGTCTTACCCAGTGCCGAGGATGAACTTTGTTTGCTAGCATACACAGTGAGCGTATGGGCTTACACTGGTGGATTGTCTCTCGTTCTCCGTATTTTGCAGTGTGCACCTTGGCCGTAACAAAAACCCGTGGCTCATCAGAGCACTTTACATAGGAAGTCCCTATAATCTTTTTTTCCCCTCACCATCTCGTAACAGTAGCTGCAGCAGGCAAAAGAAAATAATGCAGTTCTGTAGTTGTCACAGCCAGAGCAGTAAAGGATATGACTCGTTCTCTGCACAAACTTGGTTTCTTTCTGCCACTGAACACTCTAAGAAACACAAGAAACCAGCACGAGCCTTTCTTTACATTGATACTCATGATCACACTTCATCCGTCATTCATATTCACCTCTTCACCACACCCTCTTCACCCCAGCTCCTGAGACATGGCCGCAACTTGCGTGCCCGTGAGCAAGGTGACAGAGCAGAGCAACTCCTTGGCCCCTTGGTTTCAAGGGACCTTTGGTTTCAGATCTGTGACCACCGAAGTCCCTCAGCATCTCCCACTCTCACACCTCCTGAGCTTCAAGGACTTCAGAGTCACAGCAGAGACAGGTGACAGGTTGTCTGCTCATCTTTCTGATACACACTCCCGTGTCTTTTCTTTTGAGGCAGAAGAAGTCAAGTACGTGATGTCCTGGGACTTGTAACATATTGACTATGATTTAATAAAAACATGTGGCTGGGAAAAGCTTATGGAGAGACATACACCCTGTCGTATCCATCAGATACTGGCTCTGAAAAATCTCTCCTCTTTGTATGATGCCTATCTACACCCTTAACAAAGCCGTTCCTTCTGTGACCCGTGACTCAGTATTAAGTCTTTTGTGAGATCGGACTGTCTCTGTTTAAACGTAGGGGACACTATTCATTGCCGAGTGCCATTTTTTCCTGGATAGATTAACCCTCTTGTTAAGTATGTGGTAAGATCAAATGTTGTGTTGGTTTAATAGCTGATAAAAGCTCTATCATGGGAATGTACCTTGTTTTTTGGTTGAAACAGATTAGATTAGCCCATTGATCTTTTCCATTTCTAGTATGCGTGTTCCCATAAGAGAGACTTTTTGTTTTAATGAAGTGGTGTGGACGTGCTTTCTTCCAGACACCACGTGATTCACGCACAGTTTCTCTATACATCTTCTCTCTTTGCAAGCACCATTTCTGCTGCTAGATCTTCCTTCCATTAAAACGACCACTGATGATGGATCGCTGGACGCCTGGACACCACAGACTTTCCTGTCATGGTGGCCCAAGCAATGCGAAATGAAAAAGGCCAGTAATTTCTCTCGTACTGGGCATCAAGGACTGCTGAGCTTCCTGCGACCAAACTAGGCATAGCTCTTCGCCTCATGCAAAGCACCCTCAGTGCAGCAAACCAAATTGGGGGTGTAAAAAATGGGGCACCTTGCAACCAGAACAAAACCAAAAACCAAGAAAGCAACACGGCTGCAGGGTTTCTTTTTTTCTTGTCTTTTAAATCATGTTAAAAACGGGCAAGCTGAGACAAACTCCCTTGATGGCAGAGCTGTGGGGTGGGGGAGGGTAGTGGGAGGCATAAAAAAAACAAATTTCAAAACAAAGCCAAAATCAATTACAAGATATAAGTATAGCTATTTGGTCTCCAGTTCTCTACCATCAGTTTTCAGATTGGTGAATCATCTACCTCTCCAGCAGCACAAAATGATCCTGGAGAGGTTTCTGAGTAATACAAACCACGTGATGGGTCCCTTTGCTTTCTCCCTACGATGTAAGGAACAGTCCTTCACCTTTCACCCCAAAATTGCTAGAAGGTATAAGAAACACCCCTCCCTTTTGTAATTACAGATGCTTCAGCCTTTGCTTTTTTAGAGAAAGCTTTGAGCTGAAATTCTGCATTGTGGATATATTGTGGGGGTTACATATATATACATATATATGAGAAACGTTTCTATATATACACATATATATATGTATTTGTCCTTGCCCCTCCCCCCGCCCCGCTCATGTCAACATCAAGTCTATTGCAGAGGTTTGTCACATTTATTTTTCTCCTCCCCGGAGCACTTAGGTGATTGGTTTTGGTCCATATTCCAGCAGTTAAGAGCCACTTGCAGGACTCATTGTGAGCCCACGCTATGCTGGGATGATACCCCAGCCCATACGTGAAGGGTGACTCCTCTTCATTTGACAGGTATGTGTGGTAAATTCTTTTAGTAGCTTCAACACATTTCCCAGTGGCAGCACATGTAAATTGATCCGAGCAAACTGGAACCTTTGAGCAAATCCCTTCTGTGTTGCTATTGTTTTATGCGGTGTTATGTCATGAGACTTGCACAGAAAATAAGAGCGCTCTATTTCCATAGGAAAGCCTTCCAAAAAAAAAAAGCATAATCTGACGTCTTGTCCTATGTGAGATACGGAAAGTCAAACTGCATGTTTATTAGGGAAAAAAAACAACCCCCCCCCCCCCCCCCCAAACTGAAACAAACCAAAAAGAAAGAAAGAACTCAAGGGAGACTTTGTAGGAACAGTGAAGTAGTGCGTAAGTCCAGGCTTTCTCCCCTTTACTTTTCTGCCAGCACCACTTCTGCCTGTTAGTTTGTTTTGTTAAGGTGCTTCAGGTCCTGCGTGGTCTTCAAGCTAAGCGGCAACCCCAAGTACTGCTTCTGTGTTGTTGCTTCCCCTCCCAAACTGTGCCAGCCATCCAGGCAGATGTTTCTCCCGTGGACCCACAGAGGCGGTGCACCAGTTCCCTTCAGCACTCATCTTCTTGGTATATTTGTTCATCCAGTTCCTGGGATTCAAGGTGCTCGAGGCGGTCTGTTCGGCCACTCATAATCTCATCTGGGGTCTTCATGAACCTGCAAAACAGAGAAACAAGTGGATTTCCCAGCGGTCTCAGCTTTTACCTTCATCAAAACATTGAGGCCCCTGAGCTCTACAGCTTCCAAAATCATCTTTGCTGTATCCTCCCAACAACTTAGTATTTTCCAGCTTCTCCCCAGCCCACTGGTGTCTTCCCTCCTCCATACCTGGAAAGGAAACTGAAAAAATCACAGGTATTTTCCCCTGCTCCTTGAAAGTCCAAATCTGAACCAAACCCCATAGTCTTTTCCAAAGAATGGTATTTTCTTCTTCTCCCTCATATCGTTTGCTGTTGTCATGTAAGATGACAGTATGCCATGGGTACACTCATTTATGTGTCTGGTGACAGAAACATTAAAAACCTTTATGGCCAGCCCATTTCAAAGCAAAAGCACTCGCAAGGCGTGGAGAGGCGGAGGGCTACTGGTTTGTGCAGGCTTGTGTGTAGGTGAGCGAAGAGGAATATGAAACACCAAAGGAACAGTGGTGGAAAAAGCCAAGGACCAAGTCAGAACAAGTTCTGGGAAATGGAAAAAGCCCTGAAAGAAAAAGCTTTTGGGCTAAGGAACTGTGAGCAAAGACAGTCTCTTCCTGTGTGATTGCTGCAAGTGTAATTGTAATGAAGCAGTATCCTCTGTAAATGAATGCCACGGCTCCCAGCACTAATGTCTTGATGCAGTAAGTCTGTAGGGGGCTAGAAACAGAAACTGCCTCTGGGGAGGCATGGCAGCAGTAGGAAATGGGAAGGGACATCCACCGGCCTGCAGATCACGTCTGCAGTCTTGATCTTTGCCAGGATGCTTTTGTGTACTACTGCACAGAGATAGCACGGAAAAGCTCTGCTTTTTCTTCCTGAATTTAATGGTGTAGGAAGAGAGAGTGAGTGGCACAGGAAGGATGAAATCCTAGTTTAAACACAAATCACTTTCCTAACTCATAAGTACTTCTGGAGAAATTAGGATGAAAGATGTTTATGCTGGAAGTGTTACAAAATTTCACAGTCTTTCATTAACGATGTGCTGGCTAACATTCAGCAGTACCAAATGTGTTAATCAGAGGAGCTGATTTTATTTCAGGTTGATGATATGCTCAGTATCCTTGCTCCAGTGAAAACAAAACCAACTGACCTCGTTACTATCACTGACCCAGAAAAATCACTGCTGAAGCTCATGGGCGAGACTTGCCCCCTCTTCTGCCTCTGAGGTTATAAAGCTGAAGGCTTTCCATCTGAAAAATCTGGAGTCTCTCAGCAAATGCATAGCACAGCCTGGAACTAACCTTTTGCCACCACTTCTAATTTTGGAAATCATGTACACATATGCATTTAGGAAAAAAAAAAAGGCCCGTGACTCACTGCTGTGTCACTCCGATTTGTATGCTGGAAGAACACTGCTGATCTAAATGGTGTTACGGTGGTGAAAAACTAGCGCACAGAAGTGGTAAATCAGTCCCTGGCTACACAGTGAAAACGCACCAAAGCCTATGGGCCAGACTGTGCCCTGATTTAAACCCTGTGTTCATCTTGTTGATCTTGCGTGAGGATGAAATCAAAACAGAGAGTGATCCCACTGCCCTCCCTACGTTCTGTCTGCTCTGTTTCCTAAACCATGTGGGAAATGGGCTGATGTGAACTGTACTGCAGTACTTTGGGTATTCTTTCTGGTCTTTTAAGTCATGTCAAGAAACTCAAAGCATGGGTATTTGTAATAGCATTTGATTAAATTTTAAAAGGCAACCCAGAACTACAAGCTAATGAAGAAACAGTATCTGTGACCTCTTTTGTTGCAGAAGACACTCAGGCAACCTATTAGAAATCCCTTCTCTGACTCCATTTTACTTAAAGCTCTGTACACATATCTGCAGATGACAACTGCCTGCATGTTACTTATAAAGTCACATTTCCTATTATTTCTGTGCTTACGAGAAATAGCCAAGAAAGGCACATTAATGGCTTGATTTTTTGCAGCTGTTCTTCTTTTTCTCTTCAGATATAAATAGGTCTAAGAAAACAACATCAATAAGTTTTTATTGGGAATTGTGCAAAAAATGCTTTGTTGTTGTTTTTTTCCAGTTTCCGAAGGAAATGAGATTTATATGCTCATGTTTTATGCTCCCTGGTGACCTTTGAATCTGTTGGTCAATTTTGGGCAAGTCTGACAGAGGAACTGAGGTCTCCAAGGGTTTTAAGTTTCTACAGTTTTGAGAAAATAGGCAGCCTGGTTGAGAAGAGATGGACTTCTGTTTTGTTTGTGCCCCCACCAAAGGAGAGGCTCCAAGATAAGCACGTTCACTGTTCAGCATCACAGAATTCCCCTGGGGCAGCGCAGTCTTCACACAAGGCCATAGCTATCCAGGCTGCCTTCATTGGTACTGCTGCTGATGGAGCAACCTTGTTTTAACTTTCTGCAAAATATTAAAATCACGCAGTTGATTTTGCCTGTGATTCTTTCTTCCCTTCACTCTCTTTCCCCCATCTAAGTCTTCTTCTAAGAGCTGACATAAACAAGACATTCCACAGAAACCTTTTCAGCTGTAGATAGTTTGCGTGCTAATGCAGTTCTGTTAGCTATTTAAGAAAACAAACTCCAAGACTGCCTTCCTATTGATATCATTTCCAAGCACATTACTAGATCCAGACCACTGACATCAAAGCAGTCTTTGGTCTGAGTTCAGTGCTCTGTGGGTCAGACGTACGCACTAGGATTTGCTGGTCTTGTCTGAAAAGAACTGGAGTGCTCTCACTCTCTGCCAGCCACACTCAAGTTTGTACAAGTAACTTCCCTGCTTTACGCTGTTTCGGGCACTATTTCCTAAATTCTTGGTTGTATCATCCAATCCGATGCATTAGGTTTTATGAACAGCTCTTGCAGGTCCCTCCTTCCTTGAAGGCAGCACCGCTGAAGACATGGTCATCAGCACTTCTCTTCTGTGATGCTGATGCACTTGAGGAAATGCCTGATCCCTGCTTAGCTTTCACCGGCAGCTGTGTCTGAGAAGTGAATTTGGAGTGGGTTTTCCAGCACCTTGGCTGAGATCATGAATCATTTAGCTAAGGTTTTAAACAATGGCGCAGCCTGCTTGAAGTGAGTGAAAAGACTTCTATTGACTCCACTGATCATTGAAACAGGCCTGTATTTTTGTAAATTGGTGCAGTTGCCTTGAAAGCTGGGAAGCCCTGGTCTAGACAGCTTTTACAAAGATATGCCCATTGTCACCTGTGTTACAGCTGTGGCAATGAAGTATTCCACACACAATTCCATCCTCCATCTTCAAAAACTAATTGTCTGTAGAAAGGAATGGCAACGAAAAGAAAAAATTACCTGAACAAAAGCCTTTGTCCTGGCTCCTTCCGGATAATATTTAGTTTGTAGTAGTGGCGTAGGGCTCTGGACATTTTCTCATAAGTCATATTTGTTCTGTTCTGTTTTTTTCAAAAGAAAAAGGAAAAACGTGGTGAGATGACTCATTAAAACCTTCCTAAGCCCCAAAAGAAGTTGCAGAACTATCACAGCTAGCTAAAGTAACCAAGTCAGTTCAAGAAATTACATGTTCCACTCTTCTGCTGTTTGCAGGCCCATCCTGCCCCTCCAGCCCTCATCACCAAATTTTTATGGGTCTCTTTTCATACAGGGCAATTTAAGCAAGAAAGCCTAACAAAAGTTCCAGGTGCGGTTTGTCTACAGTTTCTTGGATCACAGCTAACAAAAGGCTTCATCAACCACAAGAGGAGACATTAGATGGAGGGAGATGCTCATGCCAAGTGCGATGTGACAGGCCTGTTCTTAATGAAACCATCTTTTGTAAAAGCATAAGAACAGTGGCTAATAGACTGAATCTGTCAGCAGTCCCTGCTAAGAGTGCTGTTCCTCTGGGATTCCCCTCCATTAACTAGTTAATGCTTACAGAGCACTGTGGAGATTGACAGCCTGTTTCTCCTCTTGTTATACGGGTATAAATCAAGAAGCCCATTAGGTTGCACATCTGCTTCTATGACAGAGGATCCCCTTCATTTTGGGAGCTGCTGACCCCAAAGGCCATAGCCAGAGCACTGCAGGGTGACTGAGGTATGGCCCTGCTGAAGCTGAGTGTCATAAGGCAGAAGTGATGGGCACTGTCAGAGCTGTATGTGGGCAGTCCTCATAGTACTGACTTGGGATAGCAGGATCAGTCCCTTAGGCTACATCTACATGAAGAGCATTTTTCTGGTACAAGGAGGAGCACTGGTTACTATGCTGGCAAAGAAACTCCCAGCAGAGAGACAACTATACTGGCAAAGCCGTGTTTGCACGAGTATAAACCAGCCGCCTTGCCATGGGCAAAACATGCCGAACTAGTAGAAGCATGCTTTTGCTCTGTGAGCCTCCATGTTAGGAGTTTGGCTTGGCACAGCTCTGTCAGTCCAAGATTAGGCAGAAGTCTGTAGTGTTGACCTGACTTTATTAAATGAGACTGATCCACCTAAAATGCCCCCTAAGAGCAGATCTCCTCTGCTTGCCCTGACTGCAACAGCTCTGCTAAGGGAGGCCACATAAGTTGCTCCTGTGGCAATTAAACACTAACAATGACAATGTTTTCCTTGCAAAATCTAGACTCCGCTCATCGGGAAGCCCTCTGAAATACCATGTGTGCTTTTTCCATTTCTTACATGCTAAAAGGCCGCTGCATTTCCCAAGTGGCTAGTGGTCTGAAGTAGCTTCAGTTTTAGACACCCAACATGAGACGTGATGACAAGGCCTGATCATTAACATGGAGGTTGGGTAAGGGCAGAACTCTCCATTCCCAGTGTTGCAGCCCAAGACCTCTAAGACAGATGTTCTTGTAAGCAATGAGTCACATGAGAAAATCTTGACCTTATCAAGATTATAGGCCATGTATACTCAAATATAGAATCACAGAATAGTTGAGGCTGGAAAAGGTACCTCTGGAGATCACCTAGTCCAGTCCCTCTGCTCAAAGCAGGGTCAACCAGAGATGGTTGCTCAGGACTGTGTCCGGTTGGGTTTTGAACATCTCCAAGAATGGAGACTCCACGGTTTCCTCTGGGCAACCTGCTCCAGTGTCTGACCACCTTCCTAGTACAACAGTCCCACACCTGGGGTCTCATGAAATGTAACAAGGGGAAATGTAAAGTCTCACACCTCCCCACGTCATTCCTGCCCAGGTGGAGGACTTTACATTGCCACCTATTAAGTTTCATGAAATTCCCGTTAGCCCATTTCTCCACCATGTCCAGGTCCCTCTGGACAGCAGCACAACCCTCTGGTCCATCAGCCACTCCTCCCAGTTTTGTATTGTCTGAAAACTTGCTTAGGGTGCGCTCTGTCCCATCATCCAGGTCATTAATGAACATGTTAAATGGTACTGGCTCTAGAATCAATCCCCAGGGTAACATCACTACCGACTGGATTCTGTGCCGTTGACCACAACCTTTTCAGCCCAGCAGTTCAGCCAGTTTTCAATCTACCTCACTGTATTCTTGTCTAGGTCATACTTCATTAGTTTGTCTATGAGAATATTATGGGAGACAGTCTGAAAAGCCTTTCTAAAGTCAAGGTAAGCTACATCCACTGTTCTCTCTGCATCCACCAAGCTAATCATTTCATCACAGACAGATATCAGGGTGGTCAAACATGATTTCCCTTTTGTAAATCCATGCTGACTACTCATATACTCATATGAATATACTCATATGCATATACTCATATAGATATATCTGTACATACTCAGCCCCAAACTGCAAAGATCAGTAACTGCTTTCCAGAGAACAAAGCAGAATTACCCTCTTAAAAGGAAATACATAATCCTGCAGCATTTGGTGTCTGTCACAGGACAGCGTGTGAAATCTGAACGTTGGTGCAGACAGGAACTCAGACAGAAAGCTCCTGCCGAGATGTAGTATACAGCTCCTTGTAGACCACATCTAACCAGAACATCCTTAGCATCAGGTTTCAGGAAGAAATGAGATGCCTTGAGAGAGAAGGACCGTTAATTCTTGCACTCCTCGTAATTTTATAATTAAATGCATTTATAACTAAATGCCTTTAAACCAAACCAACAGGTTCTCTATATGAAGGATAGGTTTTAGTGCTTGAGGCTGGATGCTTTATATTTCTAATGTGCGTAGAATGAAAGATTACAACTTTCCAGCAGTAGTTTATATGCACATGCTTTCTTCCTTTTTCCCCTGTTTATAAATGAATCCTGTGATGTTACAAGAGGTGAAGTGCTGCAGGAGGAAAATTGCATTGCTTCCTTACCTTGTGGTTTCCCCACAGCCGGGCCAGCCCGTTGGGATCCACTATCCGAAATATTTTGGATTCCTTATCTTCCCATCGGATGAAATTTTCGTACCGGCTGTCAGAAAGCAGCTGATAAACATAATCCCAAAGCAACCTACAGTCTGTGAAGAGAGGAGCAGAAAATATTGACTTTTTTTCCTTAGGATTAATTCTGGAAACTTTTGGGTGGATGTGTAGTGAAAGGACAGTTGGGATCAGGGCTGAAACAGCTGCTGCAATCTGAAATGCAAATGGCTTGGCTGGTATCAACTGATGTTTGCAAAATGTACTGGAATATACAGCCTCTTCTGATGCATCCTAGTCCTTCTGACACTGACTGAGCATCTTTATCACATTAAAAGCTGCATGACATGACCTGCTGATCTTAGTTGTGTGTTTATTGTACTGATGCACATAAACTACCACTGTTGGCCCTGATACTGTTGCTGGCTGTTTCAGTGGGGAAATCAAGAATCCTGCAACCCGCTCTCCCTGCTTGAGGTTGCCCCTTTCTGTGCTAACATGAGGAGTCTAAAGCATGGGCAATATTACAGCTTTCCGTTGTATACTCCATGTGATATAAAATTGACATCTTCTACCATTTTTTAATTTGCTTTTTGTTTTATTTTTTAAGGTTCCTGAAAAAAACCCAAGTATTATAATTACTTGAGTGCTATTGAGAGGTTAAATACTTTCTATTTGGATAATTGAATTCAAATTTCCTCTTGGCAAACACTCCTTAGGTCGCTAATTAAAGGTCTAACAGATACTTAGGTTTTAGTTTAGTGTTTTTCAGTTTCATGGCAGTCTCTTGAGACTGGGGAATCCAAGAGCTAAGCTGCTCCTACTTCCTGCTTGCAATGTGTGTGTGTGCAGCACAGCATAATAACTGGCAACTATGAAATATGGAAAGACAATTGCACAGAGCTGGGGGTTCTGCTGCTGTCAGAAACAACAGGGTTTTTATAGCTCAACTGTCCAGATCCCACAGATGGCCGTATAGATGCATTTTACTTTGAACGCAAAACCAACCTCTGAGAGATGACTTGCTACAGTGGTTAAAGGGCAGGCAACCAAAGGCATCTAGCGTCCAGGTGCTAAAATGAATTCTTGTCAGCCTGTCTTTCTATTCCTGTCTGGGGTTGGTACGTGTTACGTGGGGATGATGACATGTTCAGTATGAGAATATAAAATGCTTTTTGAAAAGGGATAGGAATAACATATTTAATGAGCACATCTGAAATTGTCAGAGATATTAACATTATTGATGGTATTTCCCATTTTCAAACTGTAAAGAGTATCTCTGAAACCTGTACTGTCTCTAAAACCAGAGCTTAGTTTGCCGGTGCCCTTACTATAGACTCTCCCTACAAAGAACAAAGCAGTGCGTTTTGAAGAGATGACATCTGGCAAAATTTGCAGGTTTCCGTTCTAGCTGAAACCTACCCCGATGGTCACCTCATCCGTGACATCTACAAGAGGAGGAATGTGACAGGAAAGAGCCAGTCAGATTTTTTGGTTGGAAAAACCTTATTTTCATTAACATTTTTCACAGAAAAATGTCCATTCCCATTTGAAATTTTTCTGGGTTTTAATTTAAAAAATGAAACCAATTTCAGTTTTTTTCATTCATGGATGCGACTGTTGTTCAGTGATAGCTTCCTCCCTCTCACCCAGAATAAGGTACCTGCAGCTGGGACCAGGACAGAAAATAATTCTCCTCCGCGTGCATTTGCCAATGAACAGCCTGGACAGGTCCCTTCTTGGCACATGGATGCAGAGAAGCCTTCCTTTCCCTGTCCCCCCACCCCAAGTCGCATACGTAGCCCAGCTACCTACCCCACAGCTGTGGATACCAAGCAGGTAGCTGGCTGCAATTAAACACTGCAATGCCAAACACTGCTGCAGCTAACCCCTTGTGCGGCTCTGGGCACAAGTGACTTCCCCTGGACTACGCGGGAGGTCTGTAGAAGAGCATGAAATTGAAAGTCCCAGACTAACACTGTAATTTCTGTCATCTTTCCTCTCACAAATTCACAAAACCCAGTTCTTCCATCATCTTTCCATCAATAATTTTTCTCACACACACACACACACACACACACAGAGTCTCCTAGACATGCACATATTGGAAAAAACCTTTTCTAGACTTCATTTATAAGGAACAAGGGAAGGGAGATTATATTGCTCTACTGGTTTGTGCCTTTTAATAATGTGGGAGGTGCTCAGGTAATAGCATAGTAAGGGCCACGTAAGTGGTTCCTTGACACACATGCAATTAATTCTCGAACTCTTTCAATGAAAGACTGTATAGAAGATGATTTTTTAGTGCAAGAATCTTAATTTAAAAAAAACAACAAAAACTTTAACTGTCTTTTTTTTATTGTCCTTTTCCTTCAATTCCTCTAGGTCTGACTCCCCAGGGCATATTTTACCAGTTGATCAGAGTTGGTAATACTGCTGCATTCCAAAAACTAACATTTTTTTTTCATCATCCTATGTAATCTGTGATAACTTTAAGAACAAAACCTGCATAGTCTATGTCAACAATTCATGCTGAATTCACTGTTTTAGAGCAGCTTTTCCTAAAGATCTCCATGCTTTCTTTCTATCCAGTCCTTCGTTAAAATCACTCTAAAGGTGATGTGATTCCCTAGGTCAGCAGTGAATCATTCACCACGACCATCAGTGGGCAGTACTGGGCTAAACACCTGTGGTGGGCTCAGGCTGGCCCCACCTCATCTGCAAGAGAGGTCTGTCTTGGTGGGAGCAGTTTCAAACTGGAAAACATTCAATTAGCTGATATTCGTCAAAAAAAAAAGAGACACTTTTTGGCCAAGGCAGGAGTTTATTAGAAACCCAAAGGAAGAGAGGAAGGACGAGTGGGTCTGTTGTTGAACCAGAGCTTTTGGACTGTGCTGGAAGTTTGCTGAGGTGGTTGGTTGGTGTACGGCCCCACTGGGAGAGCACTGCGGGAATTCGCCATCCCCATGTCAGTCATTTGGTTTTGCTTGTGCCACTACTGCTAGTCCTGGAAGGAGTGGCCCTCCTTGGGGTCAGCTGGAGGGATGGCGCTCCCGCAGAGGCAAGGCAATGTCAGGTTCTGTCATATTCTTGAATGCGCAGCCCGGTGCAGACACCCTCCAATTATAGCAACTTACAGCTAATACTTACAGTTCTGCAGAGATATGATTTACCCTAAATTTTACTTTCACTTCATTATTTGCAACATGTGATGTTATTTTTAATCGGTAGTATACTGCTGTAACTATGCTCTAGAAAATTTCCAAGTATATAAATACAACTCTTACTGATGGGGATGGCAGACCCCTAATATCTTCTCTACAGTGGCCCCTGGAATAGTTTCAAGGAGCTGATGACTCCTTGGCAGCTGACCGGAATTGCACATGCAATGTGCATCACACTGTGCCAGGGCTGCACATTCACCTCAGTGCAGCTAGCAAGTAAATTCTAGTCGAACCTAATGGGTTTGGTTATTTTCCATTGGCTGTCATTACTTCCCCCCCACACAAGGGTACCCCCCTCCTTCACAAAAACAAGAAAGCACAAAAAAATTCAGCCCAAGATGCCTGAGTGGCAAATTATTGGACTAACAACAGAGCTTCAGACTTTGAGAAGAGGTAGGATTCAAGTGCAGATTTGTTTTTTGTTGTTCACTTAATTTTTAGAATGGATTCAGGCTAAGCTTGAATATAAATATTCCTCAAATGAGAATAACTCAGATCTGCATCTTGAGATCTTCACAAGAAAAGTCCCAAGTGATCAAGGGCCCCATCCCATATTCTAAACTGACTGAGCTGCTCAGACTTGCAGAGGTATTTAGTAGGCTGGTGGAATTTGCAAAAAAACCCAACCACCCAAGCATTTTAGACCACTAAATCTCTGTTTGTTTCAACAAGAAAACTGAAAATTCTTGAAAATTCTGCTTGGCTCCTACAGCCACTTAAAAACTCATCTTCAAAAGCTACACTTGTCTATTAGCAAATTTAGGTATACGGCTGAGTTGCAATAATTCAATGAGCTGGCATGCATCAGTGCAACTGTGGCAACTGTGTCTCAGGCCACTGCAAATAGGAAATAAAAAGCATTAGCTTTAAACACCAGTAGAAAAGATTTAGGCTTACTGCACCTCCTTACCTCTGCTGAGAGCTATGAGCATGCACACTGTTAGGTATCATGGACCAGCTGATGATTGGCAGCACAATTTAGTTAAATGTATAAGCTCTGTTTGCAGATTACCTAAATCAGTTTGCCTTCTTTCAAGTTTCACATGGGAGACCTTTAGGAATTTGAGCATAGGCACTCAGATTTTTTTTGTTTTTAACCACAAATGATTTACACCCTGGGTATCTTTCTCCACAGATTGCACGGTAAAAAAATACGAGGTTCTGGAGGGGTCTCTCTGACTGACAGAGGAGCAGCAACTAAATAATCTACCATTATTAGGCCAGTAGAGACCATCTTTAATAGGACAATAGAGACTACAGGTCAAAGACTACCTGATAACTCTTAGCGAGCGTAATGAATTTGGAGTATAGTAGAGCCCATTTGGAGTAAATAGCAGCCTGTGAAACTGGTGAAAACCCAAGAAGAGGCAATGCTAGAAAATGCTATTAAAAGGAGCTTCTCCACTGGGAAAAGAGACACCTCCACAGAAGTGTGGTGAAGACAATACAGAAAGTAGCATCCTCCAGGAAGGTCAAACCCATTACATGTATTTTCAGGAAGGATGGAGAAACTGAGAGAGGGACTTGGTTGTGGGATGGGGAGGGACTGGTGGATGGTTGTTTTGTAAGTGTAAATCACTTGTCTGAGGCCAGTCTGGATGGTGTGAATGACTCCACGAAGACTAAATCACTTCCTTGGCTGTCAGAAGGCCTCCAAAGGAGCAGTCATATGGGGGGGACTCTCCACAGGGTGTGTGTTGGCTAGTGAGCGATGGCAAGAAAGCACATGGATGTTCCTGAGGCCCAGCAAATTTAAAAGTGTGGGAGATCGAATAGGGGAGTTGAGTCAGGGCTGGTACCTTAATTGTTTGGGCATGCTGCAATTTCCTGCCTTTTGGCTAAAATAAGCTTACTTAGAAAGTAACTGTCTCTGT